GCCAAGAGGGCATGGTGGCTGCAGTGGACAGAGGTCGGAGGTCAGGCCCATGTGACCACGAGGCAGCTAGCAGAAGGCCCAGCCTAAAAGAGGCCCCTGGGTGGATAGCATCCCTTGGTCCCCGACTGAGGGCAGGAGCGAACAGTCACAGTGACCCCCTAGAGTGGTTGTGCATCCCACAGCCTCATTCTAACCTTGTCTTGGGAAAGTCGCCCAGGAGAGGGACAGCAGGACCAGCACAGTCTGGTCTGGGCGGGGAAGCTGGCTGAGGGAGCAGGCTGAGGCGAGAAGCACTAATAGGTTATGTCAGGCAAGTGCTCTGGGGAGGGGGCCGCGCCTCTCAGCTCTGGCAGCCCCACCTGGGGCCCGCGCCCAAGAGCTGGGGCCTGGAGAGAGATGCTGGCTTGGTTCTGAACGCGGCATGAGGGCTGGAGAGGGGGCTGCTGAGCCCCAAGCAAGGGAGCCTCATTTAAGCCATGATGGCCAGGAAGGCAAGGCAGGGATGAGCCCCCACCCTGTCAGACCCCTGTTGAGTGATAAACACAGGGACCACCTCCATGGACCGGTGGGTCCCACAGGGAGGAAGCTACAGGTTCTGTCCCCCATGTAGCTTGGCTTAGTGGGGGGCAGAGCCCCAAGGACAACCTCTACGCTTCAGGAGGGCCCTCTCACAACCTCGCACTTTCATTCCTGACTGGGCTCCCACCCCAGGGCTCCAGAATCCCATCCCCAAGTCAGGGCTGTGCTGCCCAGAGCTTCCCCAGCAGCCCCATCCCGCAGGCCGCGCAGGGACGGCCCTGACCGCTGCCTCTCCTGGGGCTGGGATGGGGTCAGAGGCTAGGGGATGGGGAAGGGCCTGAAAAGGAACCCCTTTTTGGGGGGAGCTATGGGCTCAGGGCATGAACAGGAGCTCAAAAAAGTAGAGGGGAGCTCACTGCAAAGGGAGGGGGGGTCAGTGAAAGGCCAGGGACTTAGGCCTAGGACTGAGGAGGGGGCCCCTAACAGTCATCGAAGGGCGGCCAGGGTCCTGTGTGTCTTGGCCCAGCAAGACCCCTGGGCGGCCAGGTATGTAACAATTCCAGCCATTTCCTGCCCTATTAATGAGAAAGGGGCTGATATAAATACACGCTCAGCATAAATAAATACAGGCCAGGCCCCGGACTGCATAGCAGACAGATTGCGTGGAGCTGCTGGCCAGCCCTCCAGCCAGCTCCCCCCACCCTGCTCGCGTCCCCCACACCACCCCCAGCAGTCCAGGGCCCCTTCGCACTCAGAGGCCTGAGACAGACAGAGTGACCACCCTCACCCTTGACCTCAGAACAGAGTTCCCATAGCCACTGGGGAGGTGGCAGGCCCAGGAGAGGGAGCCGGGGTTCCCAGCACCTCACACAGCAGGTCTGAAGCAGGTACTGCTCTGTATAGACCTGGCAACAGCCCCTGAGGCCCCAGATGCTATGATTGTGCCTGTTCACAGGTGGGCAAACTGAGGCTCACAAGGTTAAAGAATCAGCCCAAGGTCACACAGCCAGGAGGCTGCAGGTGCAGGATTCAAACCATGAGGCTTTCTGATCCCAAGGCCCCTGATCTCCCCACTGTGTGCAATGGGCAGCCAAGGGTAGATTCCCACCTTCCTCCCTTCCTCCCAAGCCTCAGCCCCCGGCTGCCAGAGTCCTTGGGAGGCCTGGGAAAACTAACATTCAGGGCCTGGAAACATATGTTTCATGGAACCAGCTCTCAGCTCCTATAAAGATCCTGTCCCACAGATCGTACATGCGGGCCTGGCTCCTCTCCGGCCCCACACCACCTCCCAGCTGGGGCATGCAGGACATTGAGTCCTCTCAAAGGCTGACTCATCAGGGATTACCTGGTCCCCTACATTGGAAACTGAGGACCAGAAGGGGCAGAACCTCACCTAAGGTCACAGTGAGAGACAGGGCAGAAAGACAGGGCAGAGCATGGAGCCCAAGCACCTGCCCCCAGCCCAGGCCTTCTCCTCCGGCCTCCGGCTCAGGGTGGGAAGGGCCGAGCCCTCTCACTAGCCTCTCCTGCTCCGAGCTTTCCCAGCTCCCCAGCCTGCACAGTTCCCAGGACAGACTCAGGTGTCAGCCTGGGGCCCTGCCCTGGGCACAGATCAACAGCAGCAGCCAAGGCCAGAGAAAGTAGTAACCTAACAAAGCTCACACATCATGGGGCAGACCTAGGCTCAGCACCCAAGGTCTTGCCCTCCCGCAGCAGCAAATGCTTCCCTTGCAGGCCCAGTTCAATGTCCCCTCCTTCAGGAAGTCTTCCCAGCCACCCTAGCCTGAAGGAATGACTCCCTATCTGCTCCCAACTCTCCTATGCCTTCAAGCCTTTGAAGTCTTCTCTCGCAGGTATGTCTGATAGATGAGCACTTAGCCTAGGGCATGGCCAAACTAAAGTGCCAGTGTGGAAGGTAGGGGTAGGCCTTTTCATGTCAAAGTCTCATTGCCACTAGCAGGCAACAATTTGGCAGCCGACTCTTTGAGGGCACAAGTGGAACAGGTGGCCATGATCAGGGCAACAGTGTCCAAAGCCCCAGCTGGTCTCCTGGCTTCACCCAGCACCGCAGGCCCAGGGCCCAGACTGAGCCCTCTCCCTCCAGCAGGCGGGGCCTGTAACCTCTTTGACCCCAGCCCCTGCCCCAGTCCTGCTCCCTTCTGCCCTGGCTCACTCCAGCCATGGGAGGGTTCAGGCCCAGGCCCCTAGGAATGTGGCAGGATGGGTGGGAGCATAGCACGTGCAGGGTCAGAGAGGAGCTCCCAGGCAAGGGCCACCTCCCAACTTGTGCCTCTCCACGCTCTCCCCAGGCGGATCCTCTAAGGTCCGCCCCCTCCAAGCATCAGGCCTTCACTGTGGGAAAGATGGAAGCTGACCTGAAGGCCCCAATGCAGCCGTAACAAAGGACAAAACATCCATGTGGATTGACTTGGAAATGGGTAGGTGGTATATTGTCAAATGCAAAAAAGCAATTTGCCTAAAGATATGTGTAGTATGATAGGATCTCTATCACACAATCTACAGGTATATTATATGAGCATCCCACTATATGAGTGTGGGTTTACATATATGCAAAGAATTGTGGCTGGAAAGACATGCAGGATACAGCTGACCCTGTTTCTCTGTGTGTAAATGAATGGATGGGCTAGCTGCAGAACCAGGAAGAAGGAAATATTTTTACTTTAACATCTCTGTATTTTGGTAATTTTAAAAATATGTTTATTGATTTTAGAGATAGAGGAAGGGAGGGAGAGGGAGAAACATCGATGTGTGAGAGAAACACCAATTGGTTGCCTCCCATATGTGCCCCAACCAGGGAGAGAACCTGAGCATGTGCCCTGACTGGGACTCGAACCCCCAACAATGCTCCACCCAACTGAGCCACACCAGCAAGGGCTTTTTTTTTTTTTTTTTTTTTTTGTATTTTTTTAAAAATTGAGTAGAATGTAAAGATACTAGTATCACATGCACAGCCTGGCCTCTAGCTCCACTACCCAGAACCTCCCCGCTGGTCCTGGCCTCCAGCCCCTTCCACAGCTTTATCCTGAACCCTGTCCTCTCTCCATTTGCCATTACCCTTTCTCTCCCTTTCGAGGCCCTGCTCCACTTGCTCCTCCTTTCCTTCCTCTCTCCTTCCATCTCTCAGGCCCTGCAGGCCGTAGCCTTGTCAAGCACCAGTGTGGTCCCTGGCAGTTCAAGGTCCATCCAGCTCCACATGCTGCTCTGGGGCTTCCTTCCCACCCTCACAGGCCCCAGACTTCTGCACTCAGCTTTCCCTGTAAGTTGGGTGTGTGTTCCAGAATCCCAGCAGGCGTCGACCCCTTCACCAGGGCCTTACAGCTCCCTCCCCAACAGGTGCTCTGCCTCGTTGGCCAGATGGGAGCCCTTCACAAGTCTCCCCCCAGGGGGCAGGCTGGGCCTGCTCCTCAGACCTGGAAGAAGGGCCTGGAAGTTCACCCCACACCCATCCTGGGCCATCTGCAGGTCCATGTGGGATGCAGGGCAGGAATCCTGGCCTAACTTCCCTGGGAACCAGAACGGGGAAGGGGAAAGCAGGGCAGAGTTCTTTGTAACATCTTCCCACACTCACACCGCCCTCGGGCTTGGGAGAGAGTGGAAGTTGATTGCTAACTCTCAAGAAACCACCCCTGTCCCCCTCAGAGTCTCACTCACCCAAGCCGTGTCTGGGAGATCTGACCCACTGCAACCTGAGCCATCCCTCAGCAGGGCTGGGCAGCTAGGGGTGAGTGCTGAGATGCTGGATGTTTCCCTCTTCCAAGAGAGGATGGATAAATGGGTCTGTGGATGGATTTGTGGGTATGTAGATGGGCAGATAAGCTGAAGGATGGATGGGTGGGTGGGTGGGTGGATGGGTGGATAAGTGGGTGGGCGGATGGATGAGTGGGAAAGTCAGTGGCAAAGTGTGTAAATGAATGGATGGGCTCACTACAGACTGGTTCAGGGGTAACTATTTCTCAAAGGAACTTTCTAAATCTCTGAAACATGAAGCCCTGGCACCCCCCAAAGGCCAGAGTCTCTAACTACCCATCTCCTCTACAGCACTGGACACCAACAATCCTGAGAACAAGGGACAGGACCTAGAGAAAGCTAGGGGTTCTGGGAAACAAAAACTCTAGCATCCGGTGCTGGCTTCTCCCCTGATTTGCTCTGGGACCTTGGGATTATTCAGCCTGCTGAGGCTCAATTTTCTTATCTGGAAAACTGAAGTAATCAAACCTGATACCTGCGTTGTTATGAGATTTAAACAAAATTACATGTGCAAAGTGTCTGAGATGGTTTTCTGGCATGTATCAGATGCTCAATGAATGTAGTTTCCCTCCCAGAGGCAACCCTAGGGCACACATGCGTGTTCACAGACACACGCACACATGCACCCCTCTCCAGCTCAGCAAGAAGGAGGGATAGAGGGAGAGACCCTAGGCCAGACCAGACCAGACCAGGAGAGGCAGAGAGAGACACATTTATTCTCCAGCATTTCTGTGCTCTGACAGGACTGGTCCAGCCTTAGTAGCCAGGGACTCAAAGAGTGGGGACTCATACAAAGGCCTTGAGGACCCCTGAGGCTCGGCCTCCTGGGCCTGGGCCTGGGCCAGCTGGGCTGTGTGCTCGAAGGCAGCCTGCAGCAGGTGAGAGGCAAGGCAGGTGGTCCAAGTGATGAGATAGGCCAAGTGCCAAGTGGTGGGCACTATCATTCTCTCCATCCACCAGTATAGATGCTTCGGCAGTGCCAATAGCTCCAGCACCACGTGGTTCTCCAGCAGAGCCTAGAAGGGGCAGGAGGATGGGCAGGTGGCCGCCACAAGCTCACATGGCTTCACTGGTCTCCCCACAGGGGGCAGCCCTGCTGCTAGCCCCCCAGCCCAGGCCTGGCCATGCCCAGTGCCCCAGGCCTGGCCTCAGCTGCCTGGCTTGCACCCTGCCAACCCACCTTGCTGGGCAGCAAGCCCAGGCTGCAGCGGTGGGCCTTCCAGCACAGCCTCCAGGTGAGCAGCAGCAGCAGCAAGATTGCCAGCATCAGGCTATGCAGACAGGACAGAAGAAGGTCCACCCAGGTGGTCACAGACAGGCCCAGCTGCTCCCAGGCGCCTAGCCACTTCAGGTCTAGGCCCAAGGCCCGGGCACAGCTCAGCATGCCCACCCACACTAGCCTGGGCACCGTCAGCACCAGCCACACAGGGACCTCTATCAGTGCCAGCCCAGCCTGTAGAACCCAGTCCACTGGGCAGGCTGCCAGCCTGGGCAGAGGGTGGGCCTCCTGGACCAGCCCTGACAGCCAGTGGTTGAAGAGAGCGATCTTGAGGAGCAGGAAGTTGTAGAGGTGGACCCGGTTCCGGACCAGCTGCAGGACACGGGAGAGACAACCATCACCCATCGTTGCTCACTCGGGGTAGGAACCCTCCCTGAGTTTTATTGTAGGGGCTGGGGCTTCCAGCTCAGTTTCCCTACACATAAGAATGATCTTTATCTGTTCACTTCGAAGGACTCAGGAGGGACATTTAGAGGGTGTCTCATAATTCATTTGGTTTTCTTTCCTGTGGATTTAAATAATTATTTATAATACAAAGGAAGCTGACTGGTGATGATGACCATGACGACGACGGCTCTATGGGGAGTGACCATCCCCCTCAGCCCTTTCTAATCCTGAAGGATTTGAGCCCAGACGGGTTTCTTCTCCCAAGCACCTGGGCTTTCCTGCACATCAGTTGCCACTTGGTGTCATGAGGACAGGTTGGAGCAAAGGGCAGCGTCATCAGAGGTAGAGAGACGTGAGGCATGGGAGATGGTGACGGAATTAATGTCTGACCTGCTGAGAGGGGTGAAAGTGAGGGAGGGGCCCAAGATGTCCAGATTTCTGTCTTGGGTGACAGGGTGGATATGTCTCCCACCCACTGGGAGGAAGAGTGGGGTTGGGTGAGGAAAGAATCTGTTAATGAGAGAGTTTCACTTGAGTCATGGAGCTGAATGGCCCCTCCACAGAGCTCTGAAGCCCCCAGCCCCTGAGTAAGAGCAACCCTCCAGTCTGTATCCATGTGTCCCAGTCCACAGTCTGAAGGGACAGGGTGAGAGGCAGCAATCTTGAGTTGGCTGCATGCCCCACCATAGGGGGGATCAGCAGAGCTGAGCGGGTAAAGCTACTCTGGGAAAGGAAGGGAACCCAGGAAGGGTGGGGGAAGAATTAGGATGGGGACAGGAAATGACAGCTGCCCTCCCCGCACTACCAGCAGCTGATAATTTTGAGACCAAAGAGTCGCCTACTGTATCCCACATCATCATATAAGACTGTTTATAGGAAAGAAAACAGAGGCTCAGAAAGGTAGAATAATTTGCCCAAAACCACACAGCTAAACAGTGGAGCAGCCAAGATCCAAATCCAATTGTCTGTTTCTTTTTACCACACCATTTAACCTCTCCTTTCTGTGCCACAGCACCAGACCCAGGGGACCTTCTTCTACTGAGGAGCTGTGATTTAGAGATGTGGCCCCAGGCATTTATGTTTTAAAAACAGGGATGAGAAAGGCAATGCTCAACCCACAGGAGTGCTTCTCTATAGAGAAAATTCTGGCACTGTGGCTTGGGGTGGGGCTTCTGGGAGCTGTCAGGTTACTGCAGGAGGCAGGCAGTCACCTCATCCCACCGCTCAGGACAGGCCACCAGGTCCAGCAGCTCTGAGGTGGCTGTGAAGGGCCAGGTGTGTGGCCCCTACCCCTCTCCTCCCCACCCCCCACTTACCAGCACTGAGAGCTTAACCACCAGCAGCAGATCCCCAAACAGCTGGATCCGAAGGGACACACAGCCTCCCCACCTGCTGTCCTCCCCCTCCTCTGTCTGGGAGAGGCAGGGTGACCTCACAGATACCACAGGGTGGGGGCCGAGTTACCATGGGAACCCAAACGCCACAAGAGACTTCCCTGAACCTGCCTCCCTCCCGCTTCCCTGCAAGAAAACTGGGGGATTTGTCTTCCAGCCTCCGTCCACTTCCTGGCTGGGGGCTGTCCCTAGGGACACCCACCCCATGAATTCAGCAGAAGCACTGGAGAAGGACCCCAGGGCCTGCCTCAGTCCGTGCCGACAGGAACAGGCTGCCCTCCCCACTTGCTTCCAACTCCCCGAGTTCCAAGGCCTGAGAAATAGGAATCTTGACCCCAAGGGCCACAGGTGAAAAAACGTTCAGAGGCAGAGGGAAGGCTCACCTGCCCAAAACTCAGGGCCCTACCTAAACCTCACTCCTGTTCATTCTTCTTGCATTTCACTAAGTTGGTCCCCAGTCACAAAGCAGAGGGATGAGGCTGTGACCTTTATTCTCAGATCTCAGTGACATTTTAGAGGTGTTATAGAACAGAGTTTGTCTACCCAGTGCTGGCCGAGCCAAACACTAAACACTGAGAATTGCAGAAGAGAAACGGTGGGTATTTTATGGGAGGCTAATGCTCAAAGGATGAACTCCCCGATGGCATGCAGGTTACAGATGGTAAAGCACGCAATCACAAGACACCGTTGTTTAGGGGTCTGGGTCGTGCCAGGGAACTTACTGCTTGGAGGTGAGGTCAGGGTAATAACTCATTTCCTCAGGTCTTGAGGACAGTTCTGTGAGGTCTTTCCCCACATCCCTTTGTCTGGTTTCATGGGAAAGTAGCCAGGGATTTGGTCTACCTTAGGGGTCAGGGACTGTACTGTAACTTAGGTGAAAATGTTACCTTCAGCCTGCCAGAGGTCGGGACCCGGAGACCATCAGTCAGGTCCCGCTCAGTCGCTCAGTGTCTGCTGCCTCAGGGATTGCTGACTGCGGGTGGGGAGGGGTTAGGTGTCTGAGGGAGAGGGAGAGAGCGAAAGAGAGAAATGATTCCTAGAGCTAGGATTTATAACTCAAGGTAAAGTCATAAGGTCCCTTGATTTCTGGGAAGAGAACAGGTGCTTCAGAGTGCCCTGGGGAGGGGCAGGTCCTGGGGGGAAAGAGGGCAAATCTGCTAAGTGAACCTCCTCAGGGCCACAGGAGGCAACAGGAGGTCACGAGAGACCTGGAGAATCTTGAAGACATTGCTAGAGCCCTTAATTAGGGTAAAAGGCTTAGAATTCTGGGAGAACCCAGAACCTTGATCATTGCTTTTCTGTCTGGGTTTCAGCCCATGGCCCCAGGGAGCTGCAGGATAGGGCTGTCTCGCCTTTGAGAAATCTTTAAAAGCACACCATCTGGGGCACAGGCCAGTCACTGTGAGAGCCGGGCTCCGGGGCAGAGAGGCCCTCTGGGCAAAGTGCACACAGTGCGATTTCAGTCCTCACTCCCTCCCTCGGCCGGGCACCCTTGCACAGGGCTCAGCATACCCAACTGTACATGGCAGCCTGCCATACGAGTCCCTGGAATGCAAGTGATGGCCTTTGCCCAGGGCAGTCCTGTTCATCCACTGGTTTACTCCGCTGGGGCAAGACTCGGGGTCTGGAAGGTGCAGTGTTCAAAGTCCCTCCACTCTATCCTCTGCCTTTGCACCTCCCCGACCCACGCACCCGTGGTGTGTCCAATGCTGTGGCACTGAGAGGTCACTGGGGCTTCAGAAAGGCCTCAGAGAGCTAAGTTTTGAAGGATGGGTAGGGCTTTTCCTGGGAAGGGAGTGTGAAGGATGGTCCAGGCAGAGGGAACAGCTTGATGTAAACAACTCAGTATCACTAGAGCATGAAGTGGAGGAGCACAAAGCAGGTGGTAAGGTTAGCAAGGGCCACATGTGTCAAGGAATATTCCGTTAAATGATAGGAGCCATTAAAGAGCAGAGGCAGCAAGGCAACTGGAGATCGCTGTGGGCTTTAGATCAGTCCCTCTGGCTGCATGAGGCATTTAGACGAGGGGCAAAGGGGTGAGCAGATCAGATAGGAACCCACTACAATAAAGTCTCCAGGCACAAGGTGATGGGAGCCTGGACTGGGGCTGTGGCGCTGAGAATGGAGAGAAGTGGACAGATGCCAGAAATGTGTAGAGGTAGAACTGACAAGGTTAGAAGCTGTCAAGAATGGTGAGAGATCCAAGACTGTACCCTACTTGCAAGCTAACTCGTCAGCCTCCCAGAGTTTCTTGGATGCAAGTAGAAGGCACACAACTCCCCGGTCAGAGATGAAGGACAATTTATTACTCACAGCACTGGCAGTAAATTAGAGTATAAGTATTTTTGCATTGATTCTTTTCTTTTAAATATTTTTTAAAGATTTTATTCTTCCTTTTTTTTTTTTTTTTTTTTTTTGAGAGAGAGGTGGAATGAGAGGGAGAGAAACATCGATGTAGAGAGATATATTGGTGGGTTGCCTCTCACAAGCCCCCAGCTGGGGACTCAGCCTGCAACCCAGTCACGTGACCCCAACTGGGACTCGAACCAGAGGCCTTTCTGTTTGCAGGCCAGCACTCAATCCACTGAGCCACATCAGCCAGTGCTTGCATTGATTATTTGAGTCCCAAGTTCCACAGGGTGACAGGTCAGTTGACACCTGAACACCTGTGAGTGATTATAGAAGAGAAAGCCTGAGTTTAGGAAACCCAAGTCTTTTGTAATAGGCAGAAAACAAGCCTGCTTCTTACTCCTGAGACACATGATCTTTCTCATGCTGGGCTATGCCTGTGTTTTGTTCCAAAAGGAGACATTATATATTCCAACATTGTTTGGTCCACAGACATCCTGGAAAAGATCATTCAGAACAAAGAGTAATCAATTCCTTTGCAGAAACATGAGAGACCTATGGAAAAAATTGTCTCCCAGTGGAGGAATGAATAGGAAGAGAGGTAAATCGAGGCAGGGCTCAGGATTCCCCTCAGAAGGCTTGGGTGAAGGGTGGGCGGTGCTGTTGCCCACCGAGGTGGGGTGGGAGTTGAGGTGAGTTTGGGGAAGAGCCTGAGAGGCTGCTGGGGGTCAGATGGAGAGGGCTGAAGCTAAGACTTGCAACTAGTTTCCCCTCCTCCCCTCTTTGACTCCCCGCCATCGCCCAGCATCGCCATGCTCCGAACTTGTCACTAAGTCTGAGCTTCAAATTGACCAAACTCCCTGGTCCACGTCACCCAGGCATGTGGAGCTGAAGAGACCTCACCTTGCCCACTGTCCCCGGGGCCGCCCCTTGGGGTACTTCTCAAGTCTCATTAGGGTGCCAGGACCAGTATGTCTCAGTCTCAGCTCCAGCAGGAGCTGCGGCAGAGGAGCCCCCAACTTGCGTCCTCTGCACGGAGTCCTCCTCCCCCTTCTCTTTCCTACTCAACACCTAAGTTCAAAGCCATCCCTGTGCTCTTATGCTGTGTGACCTTGGGCAAGCAATACCTCCCCTCATGGCCCTGTCCTCCCATTGCTGGGTAAGGGAGAACCAGGTGAGATAACCCAATTATCAATGGCAGCTGCCTTGCACGATGCCATAGGGCACCATTCCCCTGTCCTGCCCTGCACCGCCAAGATTCCCCTCCCCGGCCAGGACTAAGGACTAAACTAAGGAAAGGCTAGGAGCTGCCCCACGCTCCTCCCAACCCCCTCGCCCAAGGGCTGTCAGGTGCGCGCTCCTACGGGTGCAGGACCGCGGCACGGCCGCACGAGGGCAGCAGACACCGGGGGGCGGTGGCGTGCAGGGCCCGGTACACCTGGGCGCGCTGAGCAAGTTGGTGGAAAGTTTTCGGTTGCTTCTTCTGTCCCTTAGGCAGCAAGGCCGGTTTCCCTGGACAACAGTATTGTGTCTTCTGAAGGAGCTCGTCATATCTGTATTGCTGGGGACAAAACCACCGAGAAATGATCAGGACATGTATTTCTCCCTTTTTTCTTTCATGTCTAATATCAAAACGTCACTTTATTTCAAATCTTCATTTTTATTTTCCCTCAAAGTATACAAAAATTATAAACATGCCTTTGTACTTACTGGAACTTTTTTTTTCTTTCTATAGGTGGCTTTATCAAGCCACTTTAAATGCAAGAATAATGATTAAAAACTTAGGAAAGCATGAGAGACCTATCCTGGTTAAGGGGACAGACGGGTTTGAACTGACCTCTGGCTTAATTAGAAGTCTATGCTCCTGGCCTTAGTTTCCTTCTCTGTAAAACTGGCATATACTTTGCAGAGCCTACCAGGTGAATCTGTGGGGCAAAGTCGATGAAATAGGGTCTGTGAAGTGCTTTGAGCAGGAGTTCTTGGCCCCACACCAGTGCTTGGGGCTGGTGAGTAAGTGAAGTCATCATCTGTGGATGAAAAGGAACTCAAGATTTTAGCAAAATAAGCTACAAATTGGAAAAATTACTATAAAATATGTGCAAATTCATTTTTAAAAATCACCCCAGGGTGCACAAATTTTATTAATTCATAAGCCAATATGTGGAAATATTTATTTCAATCAAACTGCTTTCAAGTTATTCATTTGGAGCCTGAAGTTCACTTAAGTTTGAAACTTAAAAAATAAAACTGCCAAATATAAGCAAAGACCATTACTACTGTAAAATCAGTTGTAAATTTTTAAAAATATTTTTTTTATTTATTTTTAGGGGGGGGGAGAAAGAAAGAAAGGGAGAGAAACAACAATGTGCAATAGATATATTCATCAGTTGCCTCTCGCACACCGCCAACCGGAGACCTGGCCTGCAACCCAGGCATGTGCCCTGACTGGGAATCAAACCAGCAACATTTTGATTCACAAGCTGGCACTCAATCTACTGAGCCAATGCTTCTTCATGTTACTGACTGGATCGTTTTTATGTTGTTGAGATCCTCACTAAGTTCCTAATAACCAGGGTTTTGCATCCTTAAAACCAAGGTTTTGAACTCTACATCTGATAGATAGTTGCTTATCTCCCTTGTGTTTAGTTCTTTTTCTGGAGTTTTGATCTGTTCTTTCATTTGGGCTGTTTCTTTGTCTCCTCATTTTGGCAGCTTCCTTGTGTTTGTTTCTATGTATTAGGTAAAGCTGCTTTGACACTGTCTTGATAGTGTGGCCTAATGTAGTAGGTGTCCTATAGGGTTCAGTGGCGCAACCTTCCCTACCTCCCAAGCTGGGTACTCAAGATGTGGGCTGAGTACACCCTCCTCTTGTAGTTGAGCCTTGATTGCTGTTGGCAGGTCAATGGGAGGGATTTACCCAGGCCAGTCAACTGCAAGGACTGGCTGTGACCACTGATCACCAGCCTCCACCATCCGCGGAGGATCAGCTGGGCAGGGGTATGGTGGTGGTGCCCTGACATAGTCTGTAGTTGTCCACTGGGTGCACTGGCCCTGGGGTTTTCTGGGTGGTACAGGCCAAGGTCAGCCCCCTACCTGTGTTTTGCCTGGAACCACCCTGCATAGGCTACAAAGCAATCTGAGATGGCTGCTACTTGTGCTGGGCCTGGAGATTCTCAGGCAAAACCAAACTGTGAAACTAACTGGCTGCTGCTAGTGCTGGTCTTGGAGCCACTTAGCATGAGGTATATATGCTGGGGCCAGCTGTTCCTTGTTTGATAGGATTTAGGAAATTTTGAAGCATGAACAAAGACCAGCCATTGATATGGAAAAGTCTCTGTTAACAGCTCGGGTGGCCCAGGAAGTTGTGTGGGATGAAGTCTCAGAGGATCTCCAGAGTGGGCAAATAGTATTGGTCAGGTTGATGGAGTCTCAGATATGGCATCCACCTGCCGATTCTGTGGCTCTGTGGGAGGAAAGTTCAGAAAAGGGACAATAGCCTCTACCTGCCTTTCTGTCTGGGAGAAATCTGTCCCCCTGCTCTTGCCTTGATGCCAGACACTTCAGTTTCTGCCTGTTTGCCACTGGTGCCTTTCAAACTGCAACCTTGGTGGTGGACCTCAGAGGAAGTAAATGTGAGTCAGTCTGCGTGTGGGTTCTTTAAGAACTGCTTGGGACTCTAGAAGTTTCTTCCACTGACTCAGTCCCTGCTGGTTTTTGCAGCCAGAAGTTATGGGGACTTATCTTCCTGGCACTGGAACCCTCATGTGGGGCTAAGACTCCTCCTTCCCAAGATATCCCTCCTGAATTTTTATCCACCACACATGGATGTGGGACCAACCTGTTCCATGTCTCCACCCCTCCTTCTAGTCTGGATGGATGTGGTTTCTTTAATTCTGTATTTGTAAGACTTCCATTCAACTTGATTTCTGATGGTTCTGAGTGACAGTTGTTCCATATTTTAGCTGTAATTTTGACGTGGTTGTGCAAGGAGGTGATCCGTGTTTACCTATGCTGCTACATTGACTGGACGTTCTCATGATCCTGATTTCAATCCCTTTATATAAATACCCAGAAGTGGAATTGCTAGATCGTAAAGTAATTTTATTTTTAACACTTTGAAGAACCTCCATACTGTTTTCTATAATGGCTGTACTAATTTACATTCCCGCATGTGA